GTTGGAAGAAATATTCCAGGAGTTCTGTCTTCTTAAGATGCAAAGTGGGGTGGGTCCTTACACCTAACACTAGTAGAAAGAAACTTTGTGTTTTTCCTTTTCCCAAGTGGTGGTCCCTATTCTCATTTTCCCACCTCTTTGGTTCTAAATATAGTCCTCCAAAGTTATTCAGAATTCCACCGTGTTCTTACCTTGCCCATCCCATGAAAACCTGTAGGACTGGGTTCAAGTTAATAAAACATGTCCTGAGCAGCTGTAAAGAAGAATAGAGTGCTGTGTTTTGCCCAGTTTAACATAACAGAGAGCAAGTATAAATTCTTTCCTTTGTAGGGCACCAAACAGGGTGGTGTCAAGATACTGTAAATGTATATATTTCTTTCTTTCTTCTTTCATCACGTTGACTACTGATTTGATCTACTTCAAGCTTAGCTGGCAACAATTTAGTTACTGTGACCAAATTTGAACCTACTTGCCTAACAGGTATAGTTTGGTTTTATTGTACTTTTGTCTATTTTTTTTAATTGCCTTAGTAAAGAAGGGGAGAACATAGGACAAAAAGGACAAAAACACAAGGGATCTCTCTCTCTCTCAATCCATCATTGTCTATCTGTCCACAGAATAAAGTTGATTACTATTTCTGGGTTGTTGATAAAGATCCAGTTCATAAGTAAAACAAACAAAACAAAACATACACATGTCACCAATTCAAGACTGTAAATCCAGGATGGCACATTGTTTTTCCACTGTAAAAGAAAAATCTTCTTTTGCTACACATCATGCTTTGTAAATGTATAATTATTCTGCTACCTTATTGTACATAATTGAAAATCACATTCAGATGTTTAAACTAAGTTATTCTTCAAAAAAAAATGTAGTAATGGATAAAGATACAAACCAAATAGCATGATAGTGGAGCAACCTCATTTCCTCTGCATAAGTGACCTGCATCATTTTGTACTTCCAGCACAAAGTGGTTGTCAGCCAACTGGAGGGGTGCAGTACTCAAATGCAAAGCAGACAGAGGTATTTCAGATCCAGTGCGGGCACCCTCTCTGTACCTGTTGAATATTCCTTAAAGCAGCAGTAAATATTCCAGGATTCTCAAAGTAGCTGTGTGGACTTATTAAACAGATTTAAAGATGCAGCAACTGCCTTCTTAACTTAGATAAGCATTATGCCTCAGCCTCCATGGGTCGCATACACAAGACCAAGAAAAGATACAGCTTTTTTAAGGGGAAGCAGTAGGTCTAAAACGAATGCTTGCATCGGATCTGAAGCATTCTTGCCACTATGGATCCAAATACATGCTTTTACACATGCTCGATGGTTTCTAATAAACCTGAACATTTGCACATGGCCATAAATTAACCTCACCTAAGATTTAAAAACCATGCCAAATATTCTCTAAGAGCCTTCACACTGATTAGTAAATGCGAGGCAGTCCAGTTCTTTATTCCAAAGTTCTTGCAAATAATGCAAATCCACCTACAGGCCTGTGGGTGGGGCCAAGCAGAGTCCCATTCACCCAAACACAGGTAGTCCTCAATTTACGACCGCAACTGAGCCCAAAATTTATGTGGCGAAGTGAGAAAGTTGTTAAGTGAATTTTGCCCCATTACACTTTTCTGGCCACAGTTGTTAAGTGAACCACTGCAGTTAAGTCAGTAACCCGATTGTTAAGTGAATCTGGCTTCTCCATTGACATTGCTTGTCAGAAGGTTGCAAAAAGAGATCACACTGCCACAGTCATAAATATGAACCAGTTTTCAAGCATCTGAATGTAAATCACATGACCACGGGGATGATGCAACGGTCGTAAGTGTGAAAAATGGTCATAACTCACTTTTTTCAGTGCCATTGTAACTTCGAACAAATCGAACTGCTATAAGTCGAGGCGTACTTGTATTTTTAAAAAAACAAAACAAAAACCATAGCCCCACCCTGGCTGAGAATAGCTGGGGAAGAATGGAAATGGTTGGCTTGTTTTCTGCTGTCAAAATTATTCAATTATTACTTTGTGGAGTTAGGGATATTAATACAAGGTTACTTTTAGCTGAATAGTATCCTGGGATTAGGTTTGGGAAGTCCGGGTGGGGGGTGGGGGGGGGTTTCAATTGTGATGTATTTGTGATGTGTTTTTTTTTTCTTATGTTGAAAACAATAAAAAAAAATTTTGAAAAAAAAAAAAAATTATTCAATTATTCAGGTTATTCAATAAATCTACCTTCCCCTGATTGAGGTTTCATCAACTGGGTTTTAATCCGAATATTCTACCTAATATATACCAAATGGTATTTTATCACACTTTTGTGTGTGATACTCCATTCTCTGTTTATAGCTTCAGGTGAAAATATATTTCATGCATATTTTCTTGGGTGTAAACTGCTCTAATGAGTGGCTTTATATGCAAAACATTTCTGAGTCAGTTGCTCCCTCAAGGAAACTTTTCCCCTGCCATTGACAACACATCATTCCAGATGTTCCAGTCATGTGAAGAGCAGTCAGCCCCTCTTTTCCTTTTGTGCGTTTATTTCCACGAATGCTTCACTCAACCTGCCTAGAGAATAAGAATAAAATGGAGATATATTTGGAATGGGGTCATTCCAGGGTTTTGTCTCTGTTCTGGCAGGAGAAAGAAGGCTTAGATCAGCCCTCTTGAGTTTGTTCGCATGATAGTCCCGAAGGTGCTTTTTCAAAAGGCAACTGAATTTTTGTTGTTTTTCCTTGAAGACTTTTCACTTCTCATCCAAGAAGCTTCTTTAGAGTTCAGTTCTGACTGGATGACAAGCGAAATATCTGTTGTTTTTCCTTGAAGACTTTGCGCTTCTCATCCAAGAAGCTTCTTTAGAGTTCAGTTCTGACTGGATGAGAAGCGAAATATCTTCGAGGAAAACAAAAAAAAAGTCCAGTTGTCTTTTGAAAAAGCACCTTTGGGACAACCATGACCTGGATGACTGGGAATCACCATAGACCTTTGCATGATAGGCTGACCTGGAGGATGGATTTTAGCCCCAACTGTTGCACCTCTATGGGGCAAAAATTAATCCCAGGACTGACTGAGTTTAGCTGTAGGCATGATATGCTCACCTGAGCCAGTTAAGTATGTTATGAAAGAGCTAATGAGACTAATTCCCTACTCTGTGAAAACAGGACTGCAGCTGGTTGGGTGCCACAGCACCTGGCAGAGAGGGGAGGGGGAAAGACTTTTGGTGATCTGGATGAAGCAACAGCTGAGCCTGCCAAGCGTTTCCTATCAACACTGCAGGCCTTGTCTGGGCCTCTGCAGGAAGAAAAAATTCCCACCCTGCTAGTACCACGACTTCAAATGAATTTACAAAACAGAAACTCGAGAAAATCAGAACCAGGACACATTTACTTTATTTTTTTTTTAATAACAATATCCATTAAAAAAAATCAGACATAACTTTCTGAAAACAGCTTTCTACCTCATAATTTCACAGAAATTAGCTTGGAAATATTGTTTTGCCCTTCTCTCCACTCCTGTTTTGACACTTTCACCATAGCAACCTCATTCACTCTCTATATTTGATTCATAGTACATAAAGAGAGAAGGTTGCTCCAAAAACAGTAACTGAGGGGGAGGGGAAACATGGTCAGCCCCTTCCTGCCAAGTCAATCCCTTCAGCCACTAGTCTACATTCTTAGGGTCTGTCCCTCCCAAATAAAAGGCTGTGAGGTTTTATTATTATTATTATGTTGCGTTCTCCGTTAACATGGCACAGAGTACGAAGTATGGGTGATGTTGACTCCTACTGTAAACTCATCACAATCCAGAATTCCTTTGTTCCCAGAATTTCTATTTCTATGTAACGTTTGCTTCTTTGCTGACAATTATACCAAACGTATTTTGTCTCTCACGTTTGTAGGCAGCCGGTCTTGCTTTGTATCAAGCAACAGATGAAGAAAAGTGAGTGGGGATGTTCAGAAGCAACTATGTTGTGGAAGAAGAGAGAGTCAGCTGCACTTTCTGCTTTCTGTTCCTTTGCCAATTCTATATCCTCTCTGTCTTTCTACCTGGAAAATATCCTCTTGTTGGGAGACTGTGTCTCTCCCAGTGGACAAAAAGTGCAGATTCAATTTCAGAGGACACAAATATGTTGGAGAACAGAAAGCCTAAAATACTTCCCATCCCTTTGATGAGGTAATCACACCCCAAAATGCTGGAGCCTGAAAGTTCTAATGAGCTTTTTCCTGGCTATCCCCTCCCCCTTATAAAGCTAATTTTTCAGGGGAATGCGTTTGCTCTACCTTCTCCCAGGGATTGGAGATGGTTATTTATAATTCTATTATAAGCGGAGTTTTGAAGTAATTCCTACCAGAGGCACAATATAACTGTGGGACGGGAGCAACAAAAGCAGCAGAGCTAGTAGGGGGAAAAAAAATTCCAAATTTGTATTGAAGAGACTGGAGCACCTCTCGCCCGATACAAGTCTTTTCATGCCCCTTTGAAATATTTTCAAGTCTCTTCAGCTTCTCCCACTGGCAGTGGCGTAAACACACCAAGGAGAAACCATTTGTGACACATTGAAGACTCTCCCCTTCCCTGCTCACTTTAGGAGTTAAAGTAGGGCAAATACAGTCATAAACTTTTCCTGGCAGTTACACACGAGCTTTGAGAAGCTGCACCAGCTCATTCCTGGTTGGCAGTAATACTGGCGAGCTCACCTCACTCTCCTATTAGCAGTACTCTTTGCCTTTCAGCACTACCGAGTTAATAAATGTAATTGCTTACTAAGAAATTAGATCCTTTAAGAAAAGTCACAAAAAATCCCAAAATAAACATGGTTTGCTTTAAATAGTAGTTTTGTAGAAAACCTCCACTCCAAGTGCTCTTGGTCTGGCCTCTGACAGATGCTGCATCCAGAAGGCTACCTGTAGCAGTAGAAAAACTGTGCTGGGTCATGCTGTGGCTGCTGCTTCCTTGTTCCTGCTTAAAGAAGACCAGGAGTAGGGGGTCCAGCTGATGGCAGAACTGGTGCTTAGTCTTTGGGTGTCTTCTTGCTGTGTGAATTCCACATGCCACGTTTGGAATGGTAGTAATGGTAAAAGTTCCTGAGTCGCAAACGTTCTACCTCTAACCCACTTTGAAGCACCCTAGAAACAATGGGAATAAATCAGGCAAAGGAAGGGAAAAGAGAAAGAGGAGACAGAAAGATCGTGAGTTAGCTTTTCCAAGTAAACCTCTGCTACAGAACTCTTTCATGCATAACAGGAGTAACTTCATATATATGGATTAGCTGATACGACATGGAGCTAGTTCAAAAGCTGCATCTGGCACAGGAACAGCCAGTGCTAGAATACCTGGGCTGAAAAAAAATATATACATGACTACCTTCAGGTAGTCCTCGACTTATGACCACAATAGAGCTCAAAATTTCTATTGCTAAACGAGACAGTTTTAAATTGAATTTTGCCCCATTTTACGACGTTTCTTGACAGTTATTAAGTGGATCACTGCAGTTGTTAAATTGCTAACATGGTTGTTAAATAAATCTGGCTTCTCCCCCTTGACTTTTTGCTTGTCAGAAGATTGCAACAGATGATCACATGACCCTGGGACACTGCAACCGCCATAAATATGAATCAGCTGCCAAGTGGCCGAATTTTGATCACATGACCATGGGGATGCTGCTACAGTCATAAATCACTTTTTTCAGTGAAAACGCTCATAAGTCACTTTTTTCAGTGATATTGTAACTTTGAACAGCCACTAAATGAACTGTTGTAAGTCGAGGACTTCCTGTAGTTGCCATCTAGTGATCATCCAGACATTTGTCACTTCAAATATAGTAGCCCTAGGGAGATTAAATTGGACTGTGGGACCTCAGGCCTTAAACTATTACCGCCTGTGTCTGACTGAGCCTTATTGGTTAAACTTGGTTACATTTACTTGCTTCCTATCTTGCCTTGGGGCTTGGCGTGATGACATTTGTCTATTAAGCCCTAATTGGTTTAGAATCTAAATATTTGAAATAGTGCCTCTTCCAATGTCAATGGGCCCATATATTAAATTTGCCCAGCAAGATCCTGTATGTGGCCTTACATATAGGTATTTCCCACAGTATGTGATTCCAAACCAGGGCTTTTCAATTATTAAATAAATTACAAATGTGTTGATGTGTATTGGTGTGTTGATACATCTAGCTGCATAGAAGTTAAAATGTTATACCTACTGTTTTTCCCGTTCTTATTGTACACTGTCCCTTTCAACAGGCAATTCATCAAGACTACCGTACTTCATACTTTAAGGAGACCTCACCAAGGACAGGATTATATTTAGAAATAAACATAAATGATGGGTACATCAAATCAAACAGCTATGGCTATAATCTTCTGCAATTTTACTCAGAAGAAAGTGTTATTAAATTCTATGGGATTAATTTCCAACCAAACATGCATAGTCAATGTGAGCAAACCTGTTGCCCTGCATAACATTTTGGGCGGTGCCCTCATTGGTTATTCTGGGATTCTGGAACTCCTTTTCTCAAGATTTGACAAAGTCGCAATTCAAACCATTTCCAGCGGGCAAAACAAGACTGTTTGATCTACCTAGGGACATGCAGGAGTCTGTGGTTAGTTGAGCATCTGACTTACACATTGTTTATATTGTGAATATGTACTGCCTTTACTTCAAAGGGACTAGGTTCCCCCACCCTCTGGCCCAATAATTTATTTTCAGAATGGGAGATTGCCTTTGATTTATTGAGAATACACTAAAGGAAACAGTAACCTTACTGTGGGAAAGAATTATGCGGTTGGAGAAATGCAGTACTATATGTATGAATTGCTTTGGGCACAGACAGCAAAAATAAGCCATGCTGGGGGATTCTGGGAGTTGCAGTCTTATTAAAGTTGCCAAGCTTGGAACCCCTGCTCTAGAGCTTGTATAGCTGAGGGGGAAACCAAGAGAAAGTGTGCTATGTATGGTATCTTGTGTACTTGATTGAAAGACTGGATAAAAATAAAACCATGTGCTAGTTTTCTGGGGGGGAAAAGTGCTGGTCCTTATTGGTGTAATAGATCTTGTAGAAGGATCCCAGAATGTGCCAAAATTCAAACTACGGTAGTTATTATGACACAATAATACCTTTATCTTCCCCATCCTGCTTCTACGTTGAGCTTAGCCATAAGGAATATAGTTATATGTATAAGTCCTGAAAGGATTCTCTTCTTCTTTTTCAGTCTATATATGAATGAATGAATGAATGAATGAATGAATGAATGAATGGCAAAATTGTGATCTTATGACTGCAAGATGCTGCAAATGATTGTAAATGTGCCCACGTTGCTGAGCTCCTGGAGTTAAGTCACATGACAGGTCCTCTGATAATCAGAACTTTGAATACGGGTTGTAACAAGCTCAAGGTCTGTTGTAACTTCAGACAGTTGGTAAGCAACTGGTTGTAAAGTCAAGGACTTATCTGTATTGTCCTGGATTGCTCTGCTGACTAGTAGCAAATTAATAAAATGATAAAAAAAGATAAATACTTGCTTCTTTGGCTGAAGCAATGAAAGGAAAATGTACACTATCCCAAGCCCAAGAGAAAACAAAGGTAGTCCTCAACTTATGACTATTCATTTAATGATGGTTCAAAGTTACAATGGCCTTGGCAAAATGGCTTGTGATCTTATACTCGCACTTATGACCTTATACTCGCAGTCATATGATCACAGACTGGGTCTCATTTATGACTGGTTGTAGAATCCTGCAGTCACAATTTTGTCAGTTTCCAGCAAAAAATGCCCATTGGGGAAGCTGGATTTGCTTCATGATCATAGTGATTCATTTAATGATAGTCATAAAAACTATCGTAAAATTGAGTCCAATTTCTTATGACCACAATGATGTGACCAAATCTGCAGTCTCAATTATGTCTGTAGGTTGATGACCATCTGGAAGTAAAAAATAAGTTTAAAAGCATTCTTGGAAAAACCTGGGAAGACTGGATTTCCCTTTATTAAGCAAGGGTTAAAAATAATCACGGGAGGGTGTTGCAGTCTAGTTCTCTGTGAGAGGGAAAATTGGTGTCTATGTCACTTGAAAAGGAAATCTTCAAATAGGCTATTAGCCTAAAGGCATTTTTACACAGACTTCAAACACATTTTAGATTTTGCTTGCAAGCCCAGGTCTTTTTAAAGTCAGTTTCACAACTTCCAGCCCACAGATAATAAAAGCAGACAGCATCGGCTTGCTGGGAGAGAGGATGGGTTGTGATGGGGAGGGAAGGGATGTATTTCAATTTGCCCTTGCCTGTTCAAAATTGTAGCTCACTGTGACCTTAGGATGGTAGAAGTGGAAAGCATTACCTGCAAATAATTTAATGATCCTGCAGGTAAAAGCAATGATGTACACAGTCATCAACAGAGACCACTCTGTCTAATAATCCCAGCTATTTATTCAGGCAAAATAGTCTCCTTTTTTCAGTGACCAGAAGAATTCTAACATGGGCTGGAAGAGATATGGAGAGTAGCCTCACCTGTCCAACAGCTCCCAGTCTTCCCCGCCCCAGCGGTCCCGAAACTCTTCTGTGTTCATCCCTCCAATACGATCAAAGTCAGACTTATAGATCCCAAAGAGGCCAAAGCCATTTACTTCCCAGTAGCCTGAGAAAAAGACAAGGCAAGATTTTTTTTTCTTCAGATTTGATACGGAAAGCATCAAAAGTTTGAACGGTCCTGTTTAGATCATAGAAATATGTCCCTGAGTGGTAGCAACAAGATTATCTCATGTAGATACAAAAGAAATGAGGAGGTAACCTTTATGTAAACCAATTTAGGGTAGGGAATGGTTATGCCAGCTTTACAAGTGCCCAGCATGTCCCTTGAAATGGTACCTTTGCTCAGATCAAATTGGTTCCAACTAGTAAACCTACAGAATTGGGCTCCATAATGAATGTTGTCACTCTCTTATTAATAAACAAAATTCTGGAAGAAGATGCATGTACTTCCTTATTCAAAATAATTTTCTAATGGGTCTATACACCATATATATAATTGCCTGCTATAACATGAGGACCTATGAGGAACAGTTATGGGAACAGAAAGAAGATAAACACCCTCAAGTTGGATACAATCATGTAGTCTTCCTCATACAGTATAAAGTGGCTTTCCTACTGCATTCTTCCGGGATGTTTTGTTTGTTTATACAATACTTCATGTATCTCCCATTCCTAATACTCTAGTTCAGTGGTGGCGAACCTTTTAGAGAACGAGTGCCTAAAACTGCCCTGCCCAGCCTGTCCCGCCCACTCCACCCCGCCCCCAGCCTGCTGCATCCCACTCCGCCCACCTCCACAACCCGCCGCAGATTGCCCAGGCAGCCCAGCAGCGCATGGCGGCCATGCCCTCCACCAGCACCCTGCACAATGTGCACAATGGAGTGCAAGGGCAGAGTCTTGTCCCCGCTGCCCAGCTCCATGTGCTTGGCTACGCTGCTCCACGTGGGCTGCACTCAGGGGTGACTCTCCTCCGGGGGGGCTGCTGGTGAGGAGAGGGTTGCGGGGCTGGGGCGACAGCACGTGTGCCCACAAAGAGGGCTCCAAGTGCCACCTCTGGCATGCGTGCCATAGGTTCGCCACCACTGCTCTAGTTGGCTCCCAATGAGATAAAAACTATAGACATCCACCAAACAAACACATAGCAAACAATAAAACCCATTATAAAGTTAGACTATAAAATATTTCCTTTCTGGGTCAGCTGGGTTCAACTCAACTGCATCATTTTATCCAAAGTCTATTGGAAAAACATTGTCTTGATTGCTTTCCAAAGATAACAAGGGAGGAGTTAACTGTTCAAAAGTGAGGGGCTGCCATCAGGGAGGCCAGTCTCCTCCACATGAGGAAGAGGTTCTCAGCCTGTCCTCCTGCCTTGTAGAAAGTGGAAAAGTAAACTCTACCTCAGTCAGATGGTCCCAAAGTTACTGAGGATCTAAGTCACAAAAGATTTTAACAAAACCAAAGCCTTGAAATTGTATCCAAAAGTCTACTAGCAACTGATGCAGCTCCTACATTTTTTTTTTCTTTTGCACTTTCATGTTATTCTTGACTCTTGGCAGCTACCTGGACAAGTCCATGAAGTTTTCTTGGAACAATTGTTCAGAAATAGTTGGCTGTTGTCATCTTCCTAGGACTTAGAGAGAGTGACTGGCTCACTCAATCCAGAGTGCAGGGCATTAAATAATGCATTTAAGTCACCACGAGGCAGATTCTGATTGAATGCTAGAAAGAAGCCTTCCTAACAATAAGCACAGAAGTCAGTTATCCAAAGAGGTGGTGATCTTCCTTCCACGATGGAAAATAATTGACTGTGTTCAAGCAGTGGCTGGATAGACATCTCTCTGTGATGCTCTCATTTGGATGCCTGCACTCGGTATGGGCTGGACTCAAAAATGGTTTCATAGATGCCCTTGTCTCTTTTTCCACACCCAGAAGAAGCAGAGCTAAAGTATGCAAAACGAGTAATTGCAGCCTACCTTTATTTATTCTCTTTTTGGGATGGACATTTATTTCATTCTGCTGGTGAACATTTGTTTTGGGTTTTTATGATTAGTTTTTACGATTAAGTAGTAAACAGCTCTGAGCAATTGGGTATAGCATATGTAAATATTTTAGTCAACTTATCAATTGCTGTAAAAATAGCACAATCTAATTTTATTTAAAATACAATGTTGACCTTCTCTAAGGATAAAATGTCATTAAATATAATGTATTCATGTTATTTATATACCCAAAGTACAGTATGTCTCTATTATTTCCTATTAGAATGAACCTGAAAGAGGCTTGCAAGCCATTCTTTGCAAAGGAAAAGGAAAACTTTCCCATTCTCTGTTTGGGGGAAAGTTTGACCCATCCCCCTGTTGACAGTGTCCATATCGAAAATATTAGGAGATAGGATGGTATATTTGTCACCAAGACCTATTTTATCTATTTTACTTTTGCCGGCTAGAGATGAATTATCTATGTTAAAATGTCATACAAGACTTCTTTCCCCTGGCTGCTTGTCTATCAGGGAAATTCCACTTCTGATCCATTATGGAAAATAATATAGGAAGTAAGATTCTACATTTAGGCAAGAAAAACCAAATGCACAGGTATAGTATAGGGGGTACCTTGCTCAATAGTAGCAACTGTGAGAGGGATCTTGGAGTCCTAGTGGACAATCACTTAAATATGAGCCAGCAGTGTGCTGCAGCTGCCAAAAAAGCCAACACAGTGCTAGACTGCATTAACAGAGGGATAGAATCAAGATCACGTAAAGTGTTAATACCACCTTACAATGCCTTGGTAAGGCCACACTTGGAATACTGCATCCAGTTTTGGTCACCACGATGTAAAAAAGATGTTGAGACTCTAGAAAGAGTACAGAAAAGAGCAACAAAGATGATTAAGAGACTGGAGGCTAAAACATATAAAGAATGGTTTTTGGAATTGGGTATGTCTAGTTTAATGAAGAGAAGGACGAGGGGGGGGACATGTTAGCAGTGTTCCAATATCTCAGGGGCTGCCACAAAGAAGAGGGAATCAAACTATTCTCCAAAGCACCTGAAGGCAGGACAAGAAGCAACAGATGGAAACTAACCAAAGAGAGAAGCAACCTAGAACTAAGGAGAAACTTCCTCCAAGATCCCTTCCAACATTATTATTACTATTATTATTACTATTATTATTACTACTACTACTACTATTATTATTATTATTATTATTATTATTATTATTATTATTATTATTATTATTATGTGAGGGAAGAAATAGGTTTAACGATAGCTGTACTCAAACTATATCAGAGACAGGGAATTTGTAACCTTCCAAGTTTGCTGAACTACAAGTCCCAGCAGTCCTAGTCTGAGTGATCAAAAGGGAGGGGTGTTGGGAATAGGAATTTAGCAACATCTGGCACAGGATTTTTGCCTCTGGTCTAAATCTTTCCCATGTTGTCTTCTCTGCAAAGACAGTGCCTCTGGAGAAGAAGCCATCTACTCCATATTTCCAACAATAGTTACAACTGTGAAACAGATTTTAGGAGATGAATGTTGGGCAGAAAGGAATGTCTACTGCACAAAGCTCAGATGATCCTGAAGACTTTAGAGACTAAGCATATGGCACCATTTATACAATAATAAGTAATTAATAGCAACAGTATGGTACATATTTTAAAAAAGAGCATACTTCCTCTCATCCCTTTCCACTAAAACAGCCACACATATGCTGACGGCTTTCAATGAGCAGCCACACTTGGCAGTGTTATCATTTAGTGCTTCTTATGTCAAATCCACTTAGGGAAGGCCTCTTGAAGGAATGTGCTAGCCAAGATTCCTAGTTCTCTGCCTGAAAATGCTACACCAGTTCACAGGCAATAGTTTCCCAGCAACAGCAGCACCTTACCGTTGGGTTCTCGTGGAGAGCTCCCACAGCCCAGTCTCATGACAATGGGTGCATAGGCCAGCTTTCCCTCCACACAGTGTTTCCGGATGCTGTCCAGAATATTGAGGGGAAAGTGAATGTGCAGGTCACAAAGGAATACAATACTGCTGCCATCCTGAGGGGTGAAAGAGCATTACAGGCAGGCCATGAGTGGGGGACAAAGTAGACATTCAACACCTCCAGGAAGGCCCTCCTACTTCTCCTTGGGTCTCACCTCTATGGCATCCACCCCAGCCTGTAATCCTGCAGAGCGCTCAAAGTTCCCTGTACGTTTCAAATATTGGTACCTGTAAAGGAATGGCAGGAGATAAAGGCACAGTGGTAGAGAAGCCAGCAGAAAGCACAGTCTGTTCAGCAAAATGGCTCTAAATGCCAAAGGTTTCACAGTATCAGGGAAGAGGCTATAAATCAAGAAGTGATTATTCTAGGCGGAGAAGAGTACATGACAGTCAAGAAGACGACAGGCAAGAAAGTCGAGCATTTTAACTCTTAGCTCTTTAACTTTTCAACCAAAGGTAAATACATTCATATATTACCCAAAGTTCACCCGTAACTTTTTTAATCAGTGAACTCTTTGGTTGTTTTTAGAGGGAAAGTTCATCATCGACATTTTCTTGTTCATTGTCTTTTTTCCAGAATGATAATTGAAGCCAAGAGACTTAAAAAGAAATGAATAATTAGGAACTGTTCTTTAACTTGCAGCCCTATGGATTCGGATGAGCTTTCATAGATTAATTCAGGAGGCATGCTTAACAGGGCATAAATTCTATTTAATTCAGTGGAATTGCTTCTGTGTTCATATCCACAGGCTCTTTTTTTTTTTTTTCAAAATTTTTTTTATTGTTTTCAACATAAAAAAAAACACATCACAAATACATCACAATTGAAAACCCCCCCCACCCCCCACCCGGACTTCCCAAACCTAATCCCAGGATACTATTCAACTAAAAGTAACCTTGTATTAATATCCCTAACTCCACAAAGTGTTATTCTACATAGGTAGGTGAAATATATATATATGTATAAAAAAAGAATTTTTTTATCTAAAAACCTAACTTATATTCCACCATTCTATGCTTATTTTGAATATAAACAATCCATCTTCTCCATATTGATAAAAATTGTTCATTTGAGTGATCCTTCAAATAAGCCGAAATCTTTGCCATTTCAGCAAGATGCGAAACCTTCACTCTCCAGT